CGCAAAAACAAAACAAAAATAACGACTTTATTCAACAACCTCTTCTCTTCTGTGTCATTCTCATACGTTATTTACGTCCAGCGCTTCCAGGTTCTATGTCAGAACGCCGGTTCATTATTGGACGGCTCCTGCATCAGCATCACACGCATGCGTCACGCTGCTCACATGTGCAGCTTTGGCCAATAATGAGCCGGCGTTCGGACGTAGAACACGGAAGCCTTCCCTGTGCTTACTGCCTTAACCGCGTAAGGATAATGACAGGGAAGAGAAGAGATTGCTGAATAAAGTTATTATTTTTGTTTTGTTTTTGCGCACAAAAAGTATTCTCGTCGCTTCATAAAATTATTGTAGAACCACTGTAGTCACAACGACTGTTTTAAGGACGTCTTTAGTACCTTTATGGATCTTGAAAGTTTGGGTGGCGTTGCTGTCAATGGAGGCCTCTCTGAGCCATCGGATTTGATCAGAAATATCTTAATTTGTGTTCTGAAGATGAACGAAGGTCTTAGGGGTGTGGAACAACATGAAGGTGAGTAATTAATGACAGAATTTTCATTTTTGGGTGAACTAACCCTTTAATGCCAAAAAAACAACAACACATACCGAGCCCAAACTTTATACAGTAATGTATATTGCAACATATTCATCAAAAGCATTTTAATTTCCAATGATGGATAAATTTGTCTTTTTTTTTTTTTCTTGCAACAGTTGGTTAAGGTGGGATTGGTAGAACCCAGCCCAGGATCTTCAGGTTTGTCAAGGTTTTTTTTTCTTTTTCTATCCACACAAACCTCACTAGTAATATTGTATTACCATTAGGGATGGGAACAGAGAACCAGTGCATTTTTTTTTAAGCTAATCTAAACACAAGGCTTACCACTAAAGTTAAAGGGGTCATATGATGCGATTTCAAGTTTTCCTTTCTCTTTGGAGTGTTACAAGCTCTTGGTGCATAAAGAAGATCTGTAAAGTTGCAAAGACTAAAGTCTCAAATCCAAAGAGATATTCTGCACATTTAGATTTGTATTTCTTTCATCAAATAAATGCATTTTTGTAGTTAATATATAGTTAAACAATCATTAGATCGTCCAGTAGCAGCAAGGCTAATTATTAGATCGCATTCATGCCACCTCTGAAAGACTCCACTTAAAAAAATGTATGTACGTTTTATTTAATGAAATTCTCATCACTTTGCAGTGAAATTTCATTTTAATATTTTTGCTTTTTTCCAAATATTTATTTGACTCTTTGTAGGTGGAGATTGTGAGGAGGGCTTGGCTTCGAGTTTGGCAGTTCCATCGACGTCTCCACCTGCTCATGGATCTCCCACTGGGATGATGAAAGAATCTGCAATGCCTCCTCCATCACCATCACTAAGCGGACTGGCTGCTCTAGGGTTTGTGTACAATATTGTACAGAAATCTGCACCGCTCTGCGGTTTCTCACATTGCTTTAGCTTACAGCTGTTATCTCTTTAAAAATGCTGGCCTGGTAAAAACTAAATCTGGTCAAACTGATTCTGTTATCTAGGAGCCCCTGCATGTCTCATGGTATGGATGCCATTGGGCTGCAGGTGGATTACTGGGTCTCTTCAGGGGCTGAGAAGCGCAAAGATGGAGAGCGGAGAGACATGGGAAATAAGAACACTTTGAAGTGTGCATTCAGATCCTTGCAGGTTAGCAGACTGCCCGGCTCCTTTGAGCTCCAGACTGGCTCTAACACCATGTCCATGACAGTGGTGACCAAGGAGAAAAACAAGAAAGGTGAGATGGTCCACTAGATTTACACATTTGTCCATTTGCTAAAGATCACTTGTGTAATTTTCTTTTTTTGGACTATGTACAGTGTTTTCTAGCCCCGTAATTTCATTTGACATTTTCTTTCTTGCCCTCTGGTCTTTTTTTTTTTTGTAGCTCTCACTGCAGTTATTGCTGCTATTATTGATGTTGCTCTCCATATTTATGTACTTCACCAACTATATTTACTCATGTTGCCTGTCTTCAGTCCCGAACCTCTTCCTGGTGAAGAAGCCTAAAGAGAGAGACACAGAGTCAAAGAGTCAGGTCATTGAAGGCATCACCAGACTCATCTGCTCTGCCAAGAATCAACAAACCAGTCTAAGAGGTACAACAGATTTTCTTTGTTTTATGTGATGCAAAGGAATTGAGCCAAGCTTACCAAGACATCCACTGTTTAAAAGGTTTACACATAATTACAATTTATGTTGTAATTAACAACATTATTACAAATAATGTAAAGAAATGATTCCTAGTGTCCAAAGATAACCAGATATTCCAAATTTGAGGGGTCAAAGTTAAGATTAAGAATTGACCTCGCAGAGAGCGGCATGTTTAGAAAGCCATGTAAAATTAATGCAAGTTCAACTTTTAAAAAACATGTCTAAAGACGTTATGGCAGTTTTTCCCCATCCCACTGTATCTCATGTTTTTATCTCATGAAGAAAGTATCCTACTTTTTTGTGATTGGTTTTCGGTCCTTTGTATTAAACGATACATTCATGCATGGTGCTGGGTTTTTTTTCTAATTGTTTAAGCAACTTTATATTCCTAGTGTCCAAAGATAACCAGATATTCCAAATTTGAGGGGTCAAAGTTAAGATTAAGAATTGACCACTAACCTAAACGTCGTTGGTGTTTATGGCCCTGTAGGGCTGTCAAATTTTTTTTGAATTTCGAATATTCGTAGAATAAAAAAAAAAAATCCACATTCAAAGGTCTGCGTCAGCCGTCAGGCAGCTTTATCAGTGGCGCACGAGATGCGATGACGATGTATGTGTCATTGATTGCATTTGAATGCTTTTGTTAGCCTATCCAGTTGAACCCACTAGATGCGGCGCTGCTACCCCTGAATGGTCTGAGACCATTGGCAAAATGTTTAGTTTCCATTTTCCTAACTGAATATTCAGTGTATAATGTAAAATGAACAGTGTATATATAAAAATGAACATGAATTTCAGAATGTCTAGTCCACAAGCCATGCCACACATTTATTTAACTAGTGACCTAGAAATAATGCAGAATGTAACATTTCATTAAATTTAGTTGTTTGAAATTTGTCAATTCACGTTCAAGTTATTTTAAATGTCTCAGCTATTTGGACCCTCTGTATCTAAACACATTTGACTCATGAGATGAACATGTTTCAGTGTCTGTAGATGGAATGGAGTGGAATGATGTGAAGTTCTTCCAGCTGGCGTCACAGTGGCCCACTCATGTGAAGTACTTCCCTGTGGGGCTGTTCGGCTACAACAAACCATCCTCCTAGTGACCTCTGGAGGAAAAAAAAAAACATGGTAAAGTTGCCCGACCCTGCTTGCTTACAGCCTTCAGACTGAATAGATGGCCAGGTGTTGTTCTTGAGGTGGTCATGCTTTACTGTACATGATCCAAAGTGGGAGATGTTGAATTTCTCATCTGTGATTGGTGGGATTATCTGATCTTGTTTTGGCCTTTAGAGGGCCAGAGCGCAGACCATGACTTGAGGATAGATCATGAGTGGGTTGACAATATTATGAACCTTTTCTACCAGTGTTTTGTCTGCTGTGCGATTCATGATGCAATAATATCCCAATATTAAATGGTACTTGATATTAGTGATGTAAAGCCCTCAGATTATGTGTACCTTTTGTTGTACAACTTTAATGTATGATAAGTGTTACTTCACCTGACTGAATCTGACATACAAAGCTTCTCAAAAAAACAACAACTTTAAGATACTTTATTAAAGAATACTTTTGTCTATGTATAAAATATTCTACTGCCCACTTGTATAGAAATATATATTTGCTTAAGTGATTTTATCTCTATGTTTGTTGTAATCAAAGCATGTACATGTGCTTACATCAGGGTTTGTCTAAGCTGCTATGGACACCTAATCCATTCCACTGTGGTTCTGAGATCTCTTAGCCACTATTAATTGATTAATCACTGGTCTCTACCTCCCAGATGCCTTCCATAAAAACAATTATCTGAGACGACTAATAATAAGGGTGACTCTATGGTTTTTGTACCATCTAAGTGACCTAAGACAATGTCTGGAAATTGTGGTACCATTACTGCCTTTCTAAATCTGTTGTACTAAACCTAGTTAGTTTGCATGATGCAGTATATTGATCAGTATGATTGCAGTAAATGTGGTTATTTTGATAACACACTCTACATGTGAAAAGTCAGTACTGTATATTTTGGTCTATAATGCTCTAGTGTGATATTTTGACATTTAAATTAAAAGTAGCCTAAATTAAGTAATAAATCTATTGTAATTGCAATCTCCGTTTTAATTTGACTTTTTATTAGTTAAAATGTTCGAATGCTGAAAAAGTGTACACGTGTTGCATTGTCTGTCTGTAAGAAATGGGCTCAGATGAACTTCATTTAGCACAATGGCTTTCAAACTCAGGTCTGCAAAGGGGTTTACAGAAAATTCATAAAAATACTGTTTTGTTTAAAAAAAAAAAAAGTAAATATTTTTCCAGTTAATGTTGTACACAAATATATATATTGTACACAAATATATTTTTCACAATATATACTTTCTATATACACTACGTTTCAAAGTTGCAAGAATGCATGTGACAAAAACATTTATAATGTTATGTGATGTATTAAGGATCATAATATTTCTTGAGCAACAATTCACATTTCTGAAGCATCATGTGACACTGAAGACTGGAGTAATGACTGCTAAAAATATTCACAGGAATAAATTACATTTTAGAAATAGAAAACAGTTACTTTGTAATAATATATCACAATATTACTGTTTTTACTATATTTTTAAGAGACTTTCAAAAAGATTTTTAACAACCGCAAATTGAATGGAAGTGTATATATCTACCCTCATATTTTAGGCAGGAGGTTCTTCCCAACGGGATCGTCACATTTGTGGGTCTGTGCCATAAAGTTTACAACCCCTGATTCAGCAGATGCTTACTTATTGAACACTACAGGGACAGGTCAACTATTCACTGTGTGTGGTTACTGAGGAAGGGTGAGAGATAAAAGGGAGAGAGAACGAGAACTACCCCCTTTCATGCCCAATAACCCAGTTATGCCTGTCCAGTCAGTGCCAGTGTGGTTTGAAGAGGGAAACACACTGACCTGTATGGAGGAAAGCATACACGGATCCTCTCAGTGATGGGCTGTACAGGATGGAGGCTCCTCCGGCTGGCCTGCTTGGTGTCCACTTTTCTTCAATATGGTGCGTGTTGATTTCATTGTTAATATTAGGCTGTTAAATATGATGGGGAAAAAAACAGTCACTTGGGCAGAATAACATTTACACAACTGTACAGAACTTCGGCTTGATAATTTGCAGAAAGCTGATTTCAGTTTTGCACATTTCAAAACCACGGTTTACATATTGTAACGTACCATAACCCAATGTTGTTCATTTTACAAAACCTTTAGAAATCAGTGCATTAGATGTGAAATGTTTAAATGAGGCATCATAAAACCAGTGTGCAAGAAAGATCACAATGATCATCTGAGCTTTTTGTAATAGGTGTTTTAAGTGTAATGTTACAATAATTGAAATATTGGTAATTTGGGTCAGGTTTTAAAAAAAAAATTTTTTTTTAAAGAAATTAACTCCATTGTTCTCTCTCTTGGTGTATTTGTCCTTGCCAAGGCTGTCAGCTATAATTAAGGCTTTAGAGTCACTGTGCCTTCCCACACACACAAAAACCTGGGGGTGGCAGGGTAGTGGGGGTGGGACTCATCATTACAGTAATGAGCCATTGAGATGGAAGGAGAGGGCTTGAGAGCTACACAACAGGACTGTGGAATACATGGGCCTGCAAGTGAGGTGTCATTGCCAATTGTTTAAAATAAGAAAAATGGCCACAAATCAAGCGCAATCGTGCATTAAATGATCCTGCTTGAGGGTTTCAAATCTGTCTGACTTTCTTTTTTTCTGCAGAACACAAACAGGGTTTCTGCTGGTTTTATTAAGGTAAATTTAAGACTTTTTAAGGTAAAGAATATTTGAGGAACAAATTGAAGGGAACACAACAACAACATGTTCTCAATGTAAATGTCTAGGGAGAAGCACAAATTGAGTTGTATTAGCAACACTTCAAAGTTTGAAAAATGCAACTTCTAACTAATCTCCATTACTTTTTAATTCACTTTACACACTCACACACACAAACAAACCTCAATGCTTCAATTCCTCTGCTCCTGACCACTAGAACATGAAAATAACTTTTACTGTACTTTCTGATCACTCCGTAAAAAAAAATTCGGACCCACTTTATATTAAGTGGCCTTAACAACTATGTACTTACATTTAAATTAATAATTTGGTACAATTCCGTTTTTTTTTCTTGTTTTCCAGTCTAAACATTCTTAATGCAAGATAAAGTTACTTGATAAGCAAATTGACATAAGTCTTTCTGTGAAACTGATCAAAATGAAGTTAATGATTAAAACAACAAATATCTGTCAGGCTCAGAAAAACTACTTAATTAAAAGAGAAGTTTTCATATACCCCACTGACAGATATTTGTTCTTGTTTTAAGAATAAACTAATTTAATTTTGTTACATTTTTCAAAACTCTTGATTTAAGGCTGTTTTTTTCCCCCAATGTATGCAAGACTTTCATTTCTGATTTAAGACCATTTTAAGGCCTTAAACTTTGGATGGGTGAATTAAGACTTTTTAAGAGGCACAGAAACCCTGAAAAAGATATTTTGAAGAATGTTGGAAACCAAACAGTTTCCCGTCCCATTGACTTGCATTGTATTTATTGTCCATATAATGCAAGTCAATCCACCTTTTTCCTGAGTAACCGATGAACGCCGCCATGATGGATTCTAACGTCCATTAGAATGGGGTAAAAAGACAGATTGAATTAAACAAACTTTTTAAATGTAACTAAATATAAAAATGTGCGCAGGGTTAGGATGCATCTCAGCTCCCTAGTTTCACTAGTCAGGGCACTGACCAAGGGTTCGGCTGGAAGCAAGGCTACTGGAACATTCGCTCCATAAAATATCCCACATGAATTTTAAATGTTAAACAGCATTTAAAAAAAAAAAAAAAGTCATAACGAATTGGCCAGGGTCCTTGACCACTGTCCAAATACTGCTTCACAAGTTAAGTCAGAGATCTGATTCAGATGCCCCTTTAGGTTTTATCCTTTACAATGGCATGCACTTTATAAAGTCCTAAATCACATTTCCAAAGTTTTTTGGAAAGATGTTTTGTCAACTGTATGGTGACCATACGTCCTCTTTTCCCCCGGACATGTCCTCTTTTTGGACCTAAAAAATGCGTCCGGCCGGGATTTCTTAGGGTGTACTCACACCTGTGATCAGTCAAATCTGACTCCTGCAGCTCTTCTTTGATGCAGGGTTGCCAAGTCCGCGTTTTTTCCACAGAATTGGGCTACTTTTAAACTTGCCATGGGTTGATTTTCCCAAGTGGTTTAAAGGTTTGAAATATTGCATAAATTACATTTGACTGAAATGCTTGTATTGAAACATTTTACATTCTACCTATGATAAAACTTTCATGGACTTTTAAATTTTGTTCCCTCCTGGAATGGAATGACCTGCCCAACTCAATCCAAGCAGCTGAGTCCTTAATCATTTTCAAGAAACGGCTGAAAACACATCTTTTTCAACTTCATTTGACCCTCTAACTCTAGCACTCTCTATTCTAATTGCTACTTCTAATTTTATCTGCTTGTTTTTTTTAATGAAAAAATTTGACCCTCTAACATTTGCACTCTCTATTCTATTTCTATTGTAACTACTTGTTTTATTTAAAAAGAAAAAAGGAGCCTTTAACACTAACATTCTCTGTTCTTTCTTTCTACTTATTTTCTTTTTATTTATTATAATGACCTTCTAACACGAGCATTATCTATTTTCTGTTCTATTGACATTTAAAAATGACCCTCTAACACTAACATTCCCTATTCTTTTTCTATTCGATCTACTGGTTTTGTTTTTATTTATTATAAAACTAAAATATGGTCACCCTAGTCAACTGTACCTTGTTAAACAACTACAACCTTCATTTCCCTTCCTGTCAAAATTAACTATGGCGCTAGCTGCTCTGAATAAGATCTGTAAGGACTGCTATCTCTGTCGTTGTGCAAGTGATCGTGTATGATCACGGGCAGGTGATTGAAAGCCCTTCGTTCATGGGCAGGGTGGAATTTGTGGGAATGCCCTGGAGCGCAGACATCATGGTGAACTACACGCGCGCGTCTGACGCTGGAGTCAGCAGCGATCAGTATCGCTGTGTGGTCAGCAACCCACCTGAGACAGGAGACCCAGGCATAGGAGAGCTCAGCCTCACTGTTTTGGGTATCATATATCATATACTCTATCATATTAAGCTATACTAATCGTTGTTTCACAGCCAACTAAGCAATATCACACCAGCAAAAATGCCGTCGCACGGCTAAGATTCAAAACACGACGCACGAGGTCGAACTAATCAAACCACCAACACGACTGCAAGGTATGGCTTTTATATAACTGTTCAATAACGACAAGTTTAGTAAATTGTGTAACTTACATTTTAAACACACTGTTGCGAGTTAAAACGGTCTGTTTTCGCTCGAAGGAAAATTTGTCCAAACGAAGACAGAACACCGTGGCACTGCAGCTGGAGGGTTCACGAATGAATCAGTGGCTTGAGCGAATCGGTTGAATTAATGAATCAATGACTCATTCATAAAGGTAGTCGCTTATCGCCAACTACTGGCGATACGAAGTAACCTGTATAAATATAAATGATACAGACAATTGTAGTTATTCCAATGTTGACCAATTGTTCCCAAGTCTCCTTACAGAAAAAAACGGTGTTGCTTTTAACAAACTAAAACTATTAAAATAATTTTCATTCATTGAAATAAAGCTGAACTAAAATAAAATATATTTGAATGAAATTTAAATGAAATAAATTCATTACGATTCACTTGATGAAATAGAGATAAAAGATGAAAAAATTTTGTCTTTGACACGAAACAAAATAAAATAAGTTTTAAGTTCGACAATTACTAAAATAAAAAAATAAATAAAAACAAAGCCAAATATATTTTTAAAAACAAACTAAATAAAAATGTCAAAGCACATCAATTTACTAAAACTTTAATTTGAATTAAAATAAAAAGTGAAATTATAAAAATAAAAGCTAATTAAAAATATTCATAAAAACTAGAGACAGAGATTTAGTTCAGATCCTTCTGCTATACTTTACACAATATGTTTGACTCTTTCCAGACTACTTGTATTGTGAAGCTATATAGGCAATTTATTAAATTGCTACAAATTTTTACTGAATTAATCAAATAGATAACTGGGAAAATTAGTCACTTGTAATGCTACTGATCCAAATCAATATCGATTTGACTTTTTATTCCTATGTAGTTTGTGAATTGAATTTACCACCCTCTAAATACATCTCGACATGACAACACTGAGGGGGGAAAAGACCAATGAATTCACAAAATGACTGAATTGCAAACAATGACAAAAAAGCTTTAATTTAAATAGGAGGGGAAAAAGAAAAATCACATAAAAAAAAAAACTGTACATAACTTTGAATATTGAATAACAGTTTTTAAATAAAACAATCCCCCATGTAACTAAAATTAAAAAAGAAAAAAAAATTCAGGATGGTGCACTATTTTACAATAGTTGTGCAAAAGCAGTATTAACTGATTCATTCCCCAGACTTCATGATAATATGTCGAAAGAGAGCCAGACCCCTCCGCAAGCACAGATACACCGAAGCGTGACTCCCCTAAGACTCAAAGTAGTGTCCTCCATTGAAAAATAACCAGAAATACAATAATAATAAAATAGATTTATATATATATATTTTTTAAATATATTTATATACAAAACATGCTGTACATATATGGCAGAGATTGATCAGATCCCTTTTAAATCACTGACACTATCCAGTAACTTGTGCTTTCTCCCAGTAAGAGAAGTACTCCCTGTTGCTTTGGAAAAGTCACCCTAAAGATGAGAGAAATGGTCCTGATGGAAAGAGAGAAAGAGGTCGATCGGCCTTGAACCAAACGCTCGATAGCTACTGAAGTCCATCGCAAGAGGCTGTAAACGAGCCAGGTTTGCTTGGCAGACTACATGAGAGACTTGAGATGGCCTAGAGAATGCATGGTGGTGATCGGAAACAGACTAGGCTGCACGATCTGCAGAGAGACTTCATGTTTAGTGTTCAAACAACTTGTGATATGGTCTGTGATGGGCGGAGAGACTCTATGAACCTACTAACAATTGGTGGTTTAAGTGAGATACGAATACGTGAATACGATCAATTCAGTGTGAACTGCCTCTACTGGCACTAAATGAAGCTAGAGCTCAAATCACATCAAAACTTGATGTTGATCGAGCAAGAATCGCCCGTATTGAATGCATAAGCTTTGTAAAATGTATAAAATGGGACCTCTCAGCAGAAAAGCGCATTATTTTGCATTACTCTGTGGAACCAGTGTAAAGATTCCAGCAAAAATCCTTCTCTTCCACCTGAAGACTGTCTGTCAAATCGTAAGGCACCATTTTCCCATGGCAGCCCACGCATGCTGACTCTCAAACCATATCGTTCGACACAAAGCCTTTTTCAGAGCACAGCTCAGCCACGTCAATCATTTTAAGCTAGGAAATTATATGGTGAAGAAGCGCTGAACGGCTTTCTGAATCTCAAAACCACTTTAAACAGCTCATGGGATATTTCAAGCTCCTTTACATTGACACGTCGCAGCTATTCCAGGCTGATGTCAGTGGTGTCAAGTCTGTGAGCATTTGATATGTTTGTTGTTGTAGAGGCAGTAAGTGCCCTGCTTTCCACAGCAGGCGGTCTGAGCTTCGTTTGCCCAACAGCAGATATTTAACATCAGAATATTGACATCTAACTTTCCAGTTGTATTACACACCGATAGGGAATGAGCTAGTCACAATCAGGTGGATTCAAGAATGGGGCAAAGGTTACAGTTCACTCATGTCCAGCTAGTATCAGCATAATCAACAAAAAACAGCCACTCCGTCAGAAATCAAATAAATCTTTGTCTTTAGAATCGGTACATCTTAATTGTTTTTCCCCACTAAGTTCTTCCAACTAAAACGCTGGAGTTTAGAAGTCAAAAGCAGTAGTTTGGTTTAGTTCTATTAGTAGTAGAGGGGGTGGTGCAGTAGCAGTAGTATTGCAGTAGAGGGAGACAAACTGCAGGCACTTGCAGCAGCAGGAAAAAGCCTGATGGGAGGCCAGGAAGCCCTCATGTGCTCCGGCCCACTACGTCACCATCAGAGCCCATTCTGTAGAGAGCAGTTTAGAAATTTAGAAGGTAATCTGATCTCCTGTGGGGGAAAAAAAAAAGGTCTAAAGAAAAGGAAAGAAAAAAAAAACAGACCGACCACCGGTTTGATGACGTCTACTTTGTCCCAACTGTCCTACAAATCTCAGGCCCCACCATCCTCACCTGAGCCAGCTGTAAACTATGAAGGGAGCACCAGGTGCTGAGGGAAGTGTGCATGTGAGTGAGTATGTGTGTGTATATTCAAGTCTTTTCCCTGAAGCTCGCTGAAAAATGGTCGTGGTTGTCATTTAAGAGCATAAGCACATCTGATGGGCTGCCGACATGATTGAATGTCTTTGCTGGAATGTGTGAGCTACTAAATGACGGCTCAGTGAGGGGGAATCACATTTGAGTCCTTTAGTCTTGAAAGGACAGTGGCTTATGTGGCGGCAAGCTCTGGGCTTTGATCAAAGGGAGAAATCCTGCACAATACAGCTGATGTGCAGTGTTTGTGGATGTTTAGCAGTGGACTGGATGTGTGGGGGTAAAAACAAAAGCTTGAGTAGGTTTAAGGCTGCTACAGAGGAGAGGAGAGTTCCCTTTTTGTTACTGCTGGTGGTACAGGTCACATATTTGCTTTGATTTAATGACCTGACCCTCCTTATGCAAGAAGAAAAAAAGAAGAAAATCCCTTACGATTGCACTGACTTGGCCTCCAGGCCCATAAGCCAAAAAAAGTGGCCAAACAGTAGCCAAAGAAGCTTAGGAGAGCTCAGTCCAGAGTTCATTACTTAACACAGCACTCTTCTAGTGTGCTTCTTTATCTGGTGATGTGTTTATTAAGGATACTTGCGAGAAACATCCTAATATACGCAAAACTGACTGAAGATGCTTTAATTATAAAAAAGATTGATAAGGTCAGCTCGCTCTCTCTGGATGGCGAGGATGACCATGGGCTCGTCTGATCCCAGCTGTACTGGTCGTGCTGTGCAGGCTCAGCGGAGGTGCTCAAGTAAAGGCAATTCTGTAGACTCCTCCTGTGCACTGGGCGGGTCTGATAATGTAAGGGGTGTGGTCTCAGAGGGTATGACTGCTCCCATTAGATCCAGTGTTGGGCTGACGTCAGAGGGCAGGACAGGGAGGGGAGGCTGCAAAGGCTAGGAAAACAGAAAGAAAATAAATAAATGGGTTATTAATATTAATATATACACACTACAAGACAAAGCTTTGGGGGTTATTTAGATTTTTAAATGTTTATGAAGTCTCTCATGCTCACCAAAGCTGCATTTATTGATCAAAAATACAGTATAAACTAGAGCTGTGCGATATGGACAAAAAAAAAAACCTATCGCGATTTCTTTGATTAATTTTGCGATTTCGATTTTAATCACGATTTTGACACACACAAACGCACCGCTCCTGGAGTGCACTGCCGGACCGCAATCGCGTGCAGTGTGAACGCTCTGATCCGTTAACATGGCTTGCCATTTCAATATATTGTAAAATGTAGTTATTTCTGTGACAGCAAAGCTGAATTTTCAGCATCATTACTCCAGTCTTCAGTGTCACAAGATCCTTCAGAAATCATTCTGATATGCTGATTTGCTGTTCAAAAGACATTTCTTTAATTAGGATTCTTTGATGAATAGAAAGTCCAAAGAACAGCATTTATTTAAAATAGATTTTTTTGTAACATTATATATCTTCAGTGTCAATTTTGATTAATTGAATGTGTCCCTGCTGAAAAAAAGTATCAAAGTATTGATTGAAGATTTTTTCTTTATGATATCCAGACACCCTGACATTTTTAACTGTATGCTGCTCAAAAAAATAAGTTTAATTCAGAAATTAAAACATGCCCATCTTAGAAGAGGTGTATTTAGGATATCTTATGTATTAATAGATCTAGGGGAAAAACTGTGATGTAAGCATGCGTCCTAACCTGTGTGCGTATGCTCTGTGATGCTGAGCCATCCCCTTCCATTACAGCAGGTCCATTAAATCCTTTCCTCCCTGGCAGACTCCATTTGCTGTACAGGGCCTCATAGGGCAGCCCGCTGCCCTGGCCCAGACTTAGGCCCCTCTGAGATGCCCTGTGACTGGGGTTGTCCTGCAGGCTACTGGGGCAGAAGCGGTCTGCAGGAGGCAGGGCCACTGAACTACTGAAAGACAGCTGGGAGCTGGACAGGTGTTGCCCTAAAAGCCCATGGATGGAAGAGGTTCGGTGCAAGGAGCTAACCAGCCCTGCATCCATCCTGCCCTCTGATTGGCTGAGAAGGGCAAGTGGGAGGGGCTGGGGATGCAGCGGCCAGGAAGGTCCAACGGGGTTGTCAGTCCCTTGAGAAAGGAAGGGAAGAGTGGAACTTACAGCCTGCACACATCATTGCTTTATTGATCGGAGGTGGTACATTAACAGTACAAGAGAAGCATGTGTCTTACCCATCAAGGGCTGTACAGTAG